AGAAAGTGCACCTTATACTTATGTATGAGTACTATAAGGTCAAGGAAGTTGATATTTGTTCGACAAATACCTTTGAAAAATACTAAAACCCGAAGATGTGAAGGAACTAAATAAACGTTCTTTTAGAAACCACATTAAACTTTTTATTACTAATATAATATGAATGTCCTTGTTATATTTTCTTTTGTAATTAACTACACTATTGAATTTGAAAGGCTTAAGAGCTTGAAATTTTATCATACGGACAAAATAAAATATTCCTTTACATTGTACAACCCGTAAATGAGGTTGTACTTATACACACAGAAAAATAATTTGCTTGATTTAACTAGATTTTTACCAAATCTCAGTTCAAACATCATATAGGTTTAACCATACCACATGTTGGTCTTCATATCTTCTTCACCACATAAACTAAAATTTCTCTAACAAAATGATCAGGTCAATTTTAATAGTGTGTGGTTAGAGCATATTTTTCTGGATGTATATACTATTAAATTCGGAAAATATGGAAGATAAAATCACTCTAAGTAATACTCAACCCATGAATGAAAATCATTCTTATTAAATTTTTACTAAAGAGATGTAAATAGTTGCTTCTAATAAAATCCAATCAAAACTATTGGCATCTTTCGCAAAACTTTACATATTATTGATTCTCTTACAATGTATCATATTACATCGACTTATATCGTAAGACATATGTAGTTATACTCATATATCTGCAAAATCAAAAACAAAATATCATAATATGAAATCATTTAATTTGATTGGTAATTCATTTGTAAAAGTCCTCCAGACTTTGCAATAAACTGCTTACTTTAGGATCTGGTAAATGCCATATACAATTCAAAATAATTTGTTAGATTATGGGCCAAAGGAATAATGAGAAAAAGGATCAAGAAATGTTGACAACACTGTAACAAATGATATTTTGTAAAAATGGAATGCATTTATTTTTGTTTGCTGGTCTTGTTACTTCATTTTCGGTAACGTCAATGCAACGCTTTATTACGAGTGCAATTTGACATCGACCGTAAAAGAATTTCAAGCTCATATATTTGCAAAAGTATGCCTATAAGTGCAATGAGTGTACGAGTCCAATATAAAGGGGTCCTCGTGGACCTACCCGATGCAGCCATCAAGCTCAGGATATTTATTTCAACCAGTTGGCAGGCAATTTGGCACAACATTGCACACAGAAACATTTATATTTGTCGGAAGCAGCCACAGCAGCAGCAGCAGCAGTAGCAGCACTGGCAATGGTAGGGGCAGGGACAATGACAGCGGCAATGGCAGCGGCAACAAAACCAACAGTTGCAACAGTAGCACAAATAATCCATGGCCACACAGTTTCGGGTGTGGATGTACTGTTACAATATCTTTTAGTCTTGTATTGCATTTTTGCACTTAATGGCAACAAATCCAGAAAACTGCCAAAGTGACAAGCACCGTCACGACTACAACGACAACGACTCAAACATGCAAACAAAGTGCTCCATTTGATGGGCAACTGGTGACATGCCATAAAGACCTTCGTCAGAAGGCACAGCACACTTACTGGCATTAGTCACGGTGAAAATCCTTTCACAAGTGTCGTCGCACAATTCCAATAAGTGTACTTCACACTGCATCAGAAGACTGTGATTGTCAAAAGAAATGTGCAACAAGTTCAGGCGACAAAAGGCGAAAAATTCAAATTTAAAGTGAAAAATCAACGAAGAAGAAGCTGAGAGTTTTTTATGAGCTGAAGTTAAGGATTCATCAAAAATTTACAAGAAAATTGAATTTTTATGAAGATGATACGAAAGCAAAATATAAGAGCATTTAAAAGAAAAATTTTGAATAAAAATAATATTATAAAATTTAATATCTAATAAATGATTCCAATAAATAAGAACAAATAATCTACATATAAAATATAATAAAACTGTTAATTTCATTTCAAATATTAAAATCATTGCACAATTTTTTAAAAAATTTAATTGCTCTTTTATTTTAATTTTAGACCTATTCATTTCATTATATATTTGATTTTCCTTTATTTTATTTTATTTTATTTTATTTTGTGTTATTTCTTTTTTCTTTTATTTGATTTCATTTTGTTTTATTTCATGTTAATTTATTTTTTTTTTTGGGTTTTATTTATTATTATTTCATTTGTAACATATAATTTGAATTTAACATTTATTTTATTTCATTTCATCTTATTTTGTATAGTTTTAGTTTATTTCATTTTTTATTAACTTTATTTTCATTTACGTTGTATTATTCGATTTTATTTTATTTTGTTTTAATTTATTTTATTTTCACTTACATTATGTCATTTTGTTTGTATTTATTTTTGTGTTATTTTTGTTATATTTTATTTCATTTTATTGTATTTGGTTTAATTTATATTATTTAATTTTAATTTATTGTTTTTTTACATTTTATTGTGTTTTGTTTAGTTTTATATTATTTAATTTTAATTTATTTTATTTTAATTTAATTAAATTTATTTTATTTTGTTTAATTTTACTTTTTTCTATTTTGTTTCATTTATTTTTATTTTATAGTTTTAATTTACTTTATTTTCTTTTTTTTTTTGTTTTGTTTAATCTTATTTTTATTTTATTTTGTTTCATCTAATTTTATTTGTTGCAATATAATTTGTATATTATATAATTTTTTTCATTTTATTTTGTTTAATTTTATTTTTTTGAATTTTATTTTATTTTAGTTATTTTATTTTATGATATATCTTATTTTATTTAATTTGTCTTATTTTGGAAAAATATTTTTATATTTTCTGTAGCCTTTTACAACTTTGTATTTAATTGTTTAATATTATAAAAGTCATTCTATAACCAATTATAATAATTAACTATATAGTAAGTCAAAAAAAAAAAAAACTAAGAGTGTTATTTTGCAATTTACTTATTGATGTGTTAAAAGTAATCATAATAATTGACAAAATAGTAAAATTTTATTACTGACCTATAAAAATAATAAAACTAGAAATGAAATATAAAGAATTATTGATATATAGAGAAATATATAAAATTAAAATCCAAAAATATTTAATTTTATTCACATAAGCCCTTTAAAAAAAACAAAAATGTTTAAAAAAATACACTCACAAGTACTTTAAAAATGAAATAGTCGAGGAAATGTTTGAGATTAATTAGTACTGCTATTACCGTATTATTTTTAATAGTTTTAACTTTTACTATATTTCTAAAAAATCAAATTAGTTTGATTTATACACTTCACAGAAATCAAATCCAAGTAAAGCATGACAACAGAAATTCTCAGAAACGAAACCAAAATAAATTAAAAGCTTATCAATATTTACGTAAAATAATTTGTTTAAAATAATCACACCGTCAATTCAAACTTCGAAAGAGTAGCTCCACACTTTTCATAGGTCTCCATGCCATCTTAAAGCCATTTAATTATTTTTTTATACCGCATATAGACAAAAAAAGATATGAAGAGGTAAAAATCGCTTAATCCACTTGAGTGCGAAAAATCAATGAACCAATACTACAAATTAGCGCCAACGTCTGCAAAGCAGTAAATATTCCATCACACCAACGAATTCCAAAGGACCTCGTCACACACCGTCAGTTAACCTGAACGTATGACGAATAAATAATTGACGCCGATTTGTTAGCGCTACAAACATTACGTCATATTGTTAAACAAAACTCAGCAGCTGCACGGCTTTCCTCGCCCGGTTTTTAATGCCGCTGCTCTGTGCCAGTCGCACTGTAACCATTCCATCATTTCAAGCGATGGGGTCACTGTCTGTCTTAAGTGCAGGTCGGGCGCCTGTTAGTAGCGACCAACGTTACTTATGGACGGACATTGATTGATATTAATGGCTTAAACTACCCGCGCATACACGATATATAAAACAAAAAACAAAAACCAAAATAAAAAGGAAAACAAATATATCCGTAGGATAAGCTGGGCAAAATTAATTAGTCACGTTCCTGACATACATATTTGTTAGTGTAAATATGTGCTCAGGCATGTGCGATTCACATTTAAATGCATTCGGTTACATATTCCACTTCATCGGCGGCCATGTGTGTTCGCTGTTGTGATTATAAATAATTTATTGCAGCACTTAAGCTATATTTGCGAACACGGGTTTGCAATTGCACAAATCCTGCGGAGCAACCTACCAGTCACTTTAAAATGCAAAACATTGTCACACATCAACTTACAACTAGAAAGGAAATAGATCAGCTCACTAATTTATTAACACGTCTAAAACTATGTCCTTCGTACGATTGTCCATGATTATACGGATGTTAAATACATAATCACAAATAAATTATGTCATTAGATTTACTAACTACATTTCTCATTAGAAACAATTAAAACAAATCAGATATACGATTGAATCAAATATAGATTACTATAGATTGCTACTGTGAAAACATATCTTTTACAGAAACCAATATTGCTCAGTTAGCAGAATAAAGTAAAAATTTTTATAATAAGTAGAGTAATTTAAATAAAATTATATTGTATATTAAAAATTGATTATTATTGCTGTTTAAAAATTTATAAATAAATTATTGTTCTATAGTATGATTATCTGTTTTGTGGTCTTCACTAAACAGCAATATCAAATATCAAACAAAACTCTCATCAAAGAGGCTCTGTGTTAAAGCTAAAACTTTCCATTACGTAATTTAGACAGTCAAATGAATATTCACATATTAAAGATATAAAAATTTACTATAAAAAGAGAAGAGACTCTTTTCACCTTGTCAAACAAAATTGTTACCTCTGCCACATGGGACTGTGATAATCCTTAATCAACTGTCCAAAAATTCTTGCATTCTCAAAAGGTCATTAAAGACTGTCATCATATTGTTTTTATCATTTAATAAATATACTG